CTGATTTCTAGTTTCATTCTGTTGTGATTGGAGAAAATATCTTTACGATTTGTCCTTTTTTTTACATTTTTTTTTAATTTTTATTTTTTTGAGACAGAGTCTCACTGTGTTGTTGCCTGGGCTAGAGTGCCGTGGCGTCAGCCTAGCTCACAGCAACCTCAAACTCCCGGGCTCAAGCAATCCTACTGCCTCAGCCTCCCAAGTAGATGGGACTACAGGCATGCACCACCATGCCCGGCTAATTTTTTCTATATATTTTTAGTTTTCCAATTTAATTTCTTTCTATTTTCAGTAGAGACGGGGTCTCGCTCTTGCTCAGGCTGGTTTCGAACTCCTGAGCTCAAACAATCCGCCCTCCTCGGCCTCCCAGAGTGCTAGGATTACAGGCGTGAGCCACCACACCTGGCCCTGATTTCAGTCTTTTAAAATGTATTGAAACTTGTTTGGTGGCCTAACATATGGTATATCCTGGAGAATGTTTTGTGTGCATTGAGAAGAATGTGTATTCTGCTATTATTTAGTGATGTCATATACCTATCACGTTTAGTAGGTTTATAGTATTGTTCAGGTTTTGTATTTCCTTCTTGATCTTTTGAATTGATGGTCTATCCATTATTGAAAAATGGGGCACTGAAGTCTCCAACTGTTATTATAGAACAACTTCTCCTTCAATTCTGTCAGCTTTTGCTGTATTTTGGGGCTCTGTGGTTAGGTTCATATGTATTTATAATTGCTATTACTTCTTGATAGATTAGCCATTTTATCATTATTAAATGTCTTTCCTTGTTTTTAGTAGCAGTTTTCATCTTAAAGTCTGTTTTGTCTGATATTAATGTAGCCATTCACACTCTCTTTTGGTAACTATTTGCATGATACATCTTTTTCCATTCTTTAATTTCAACCTATTTAAGTCTTTAAATCTGAAGTGTGCCACTTGCGGGCAGTATATATAGCTGGATCACTTTTTAAAATCTATTCTTCCAGACTCTGCCTTTTAATTGGAGCGTTTTAATACAGTTATTAATACATTTAACATAATTACTGATAAGGTAGGCTTTATGTCTGCCATTTTACTATTTGTTTTCTTTATGTCTTAAGTGTTTTTCATTCCTCTACTCTTCCATTACTGCCTTCTTTTGTGTTAAGTGGATATTTTGTGGTATAGTATTTTAATTCCCTTGTTGTTTCTTTTAATATGCTCTTTTGAGTTATTTTCTTAGTAGTTGCCTGGGGATTACAATTAACATCTTAATCACAATCTTATTCAGATTAATACCAATTTCATTACGATAGTACCCAAAATTGCTTTTACCTAGCTTCATCCCCTCCCTACTCTTTTGTTCTGTTGTTGTCATACAAATGACATCTTTATACATTTATGCCCATTGATGCAAATTTATAATTATTGTTTTATGCAGTTGTCTTTTAAATCAGAAGAGCTACAAACAGGAAAAATTACATTTGTACTGTCTTTTATAATTACCCACATAGTTACTTTATCAGTGCTCTTTATTTCTTCAATTAGAGTTGAGCTACTGTCTAGTGCCCTTTCCTTTCAGCCTGAAGGGCTCCCTTTAGTGTCTCTTGTAGGGCAGGTCTGCTAGTGTTGAATCCTGTCAATTTTTCTTTATGTGGGAATGTCTTAGTTTTGCCTTCATTTTTGAAGGATAGCTTTGCCAGATGTAGGATTCTTGGTTGACAGTCTTTTTCTTTCAGCACTTTGGATGTGTCATCACCCTGTCTTCTGGCCTCCCCAGATTCTGATGAGATTTCAGCTGTAAATCTTATCGAGGATTCCTTGCACTTCCCGAGTCTCTTCTCTCTTGCTGCTTTCAAGATTGTCTGTCTTTGGTTTTCAACAGTTTCATTATGATGTTTCTAACTAAGTGTGAATCTCTCTTCTGAGTTTATCCTACTCAGAGTTTAAGTTTTTAAGAACTGTATTTGATTCCTCTTACCAAGTTCCAAATATCGGCAAGTCCTGGCAACTACTTTCAAGTATATCCTAAATCTTTTCACTTTTTGCTGTCTCCTCTGCTACTTCCCTAGTCCAAGCCCTCACCACCTCTCACCTGGACTAGTCCAGTAGCCTTCTCGCTGGTCTCCCTGATTCCATTTGCAACCCCCTCTGGCTTATTCCCCATCCACCAGGAAGAGTGGTGTCCTCAAAATATTAATCAAATTACCAGTCTGCTTAAAACCTCCAGACTGCCCATTTCATGTCGGGCAGGCTCTGAACTCACACCCTTTTGTGATCTGGCCCTGCTACCTCCGCATCCTGCCCCCAGCCTCCCCTCCCTAGTGAATGCGGCCACCTTGCTGTTTCTTCTCCTGAGCATGCAAGCTCAGCCCTACCTTGGGGCTTTCACCCCTGCTGTTCCCTCTGCCTGAGACATTCCATCCAAGGTTGGCTCCCTCTCTTCAATTAGATCCCAGCTTAAATGTGACCCCAGGAAGCAGTTCCCTAGTTACTCCCTATCACACCCCAGCATTCTTATTTATGTATTTGCATACTGCCTACACTCCTGTTTGGAATTAGTCTCCATTTGAAAGGAGAACTTTGCTATCTTGATCACCATTGTAGCTCTGGTGCCTAGAATGGTGGCTGACACATAGCAGGTGGCCCAAATCCTTGCTGACAGACTGAACGGTAATACCTGCATTCAGCAGGAAGCTGCCTTTTCTTTCCAAGACCTTCCAGCTAAGGAGAGCTGGTGTTGAAGCTCCGGGAGGCTGTGAAGGATCCTGGTCTGCCTTCCCCATCGGCAGAGACCTGGTCCCAGGCTGCCTTTGATTTAGCTGTGTTCTATCACTTTTCAATTCATTAATCATTGATCGTTTGGCTACAGTTTCCATGGCAACCCTTAACCAACCAGAATATTTTATTATCCAGGGCAGTCTCTCCCTCACCCTTCTTGGAGAACCCAGTTCACTATCAAGGTGTTTTCTAGCCTTGTGCAAAGGGTTAGGGTCTTGAGTGGGGAAACTGAGGCCACAGGTCCCCTTCAAATGGGAGGTCCAAGGCATAAGGAACTCTCTGGATTGCATCAGTGATTCTTGCTTCTGCTTGTATGTCAGGAAGGCCAAACCTCCCACAGGAGGACCAGTGTGTGGCTATGATAAGGAGAGGGGGGTTCTCTCATCTTCAGTTCAGGTCAGCAAGGGATATGTTGGTCCCATGTTCTGGGCTCAAAGCTCTTCCCCTTGCAGGGAGGGAGTTATCGGACTCAGCAGGGTCTGAAGCCCTGATGCAAAGGTGTGCTCCTGGGGAGGCAGTGCTGGGGAATCAAGTCAGGTAGCTCAGCACCTGGCACGCATACAGAATGAGGGAACCCCCAGCACCTTTCAGGGGGAGATCTGAGTAGCAGGTTCCATCCTGAAGGGGATTCGAAATAAATTGCTCTCCGCCTGGTCTCAGCACTTTGGATTCCAAAGGCCCCCGAGTGGGATATCTGGCCTAATTTCATGTCCTACCCAACACTAATGATATTCAGTTCTTGCCAAGTTGTAATTCACAACATTGAAATTGGAATTTAGGAAGGTGTGACCTGCTGGTCTTGGTTTTAGAGGTTACAGCTTTCATCATAGCCTCAGTATCAAGTACATCTGGCATCTGGTGTCTAATCAGATGCTACTGAGGAAGGGAAGGTGCAGACTGGACCACACCCTCCCCCAACCATCCTCAGTTCCCCAAAGCCCAACAGACGCAGTGCACCCACCGCAGCCAGGCCTAGCAAGCCAGAGCCCCGCCCCTCCCTGCCCACAGCCCAGACGTGGGGAAGCAGACACCGAAGCATCTTCCAGTGCACTTTAATCAGAATTCCATCATCAGGAGAGTTCTCGTAGCATACAATGTCGGGATGGGCGTGTCAACGTGGTCCTACAAATGGAATTTCCACAGATTTGCACTTCAAACATGTATGAAAAATAAAATATATAATATTTAGCTTTATAAATTTCCCCACTTCATCACCTCATCTTTAAAATAAATTACGACCTCTGTCCAGCAGATTACGCACAGCCTGGAGTCACGAAGCAATATCAAATGGCCTCCACTTTCTTAAAAAGTTCTGGGGGAAATACTGGATGAAGACAGTTAGGTGCTTATAGGAGTCAACATGAATTAAAAACTAGCACACTCCTCACAGTGGGGCGAAACATCAAGAAATGGGAGCTTTCTTCTAATGGCTGTTCTTTTCTGTTGGGGAAAAATAAATCCTCCAAACCATACAGAATGGTTGTAAAAGCTGCAACTGAACTTTTGGCACCAGATGAGAAGAGAGGCCTTTTAAAGCCACAGCCAGTGATGAGTCAGTCAAAGTACGGGTCTGAGCGAGAGATGTTGGGGGTGCGGGGAGGCGGTCACAGCCCTTCTCCATTCTGCGTCCCCCTACGTCCCCTCTCTGGGGCCACAGCCGCCCCCTCTGCTGCAGGGAAGGAGGGCCGTGTCTGGGCGGCCGGCTCTCCTCCGCCAGCTCGGGCGCTGCTCAGACGGAAAGATTCACAGCGAACAGGACACACAGGGAAGGGCCTTGTGCAGATGAGGGGTAGCTGCTTTGCTGCGTGCTCATGGCCAGCAGGGATGCACTCACAAGGGACACTCTAGCAGGATGGCTGCTCAGCCATTAAAGGGGACAGACAGAAGGCGCACATGGGACACCAAGAACCCTAGAGGGCCGGCAGGGCTGGGGCCACACTAGCATTTATGGGGGTCCTGAAGGGGGGCTGACAATCGATTGTCAATCCCACCCACAGCAGGGAGTCAGATATTCCCCCCAGGGTGTTCTGACACTACCCCCAAAAGCAACAAAATCTCGGTAAGGAACAAACAAATAAGCTGGTGACAAATGCTGCCACAGCCTCAGTCTTAGACATTCCCCAGAATGGGCTTCGGGGCCCAAGCCCACGCTGGCAAGAGGTTTTACACAGTTTAACGGGGGGTAAAAGGCCCTGAACCTCCATAGGAACGGCCCTACCCGGCTGCCCAGAGGAGCAGGTGGCTACAAGTCGAGGAGACGCTCCTCACACGTCTCCACGGGCCACTTGGACGCCCCCCCAAACACGTCGACGTTGTTGTCCACCCACGGGATGATGTTGCCCGGCATGTTCGTGGAGCAGTTGGCGATATTGACAATTTCCTGTGCACGAAGGACGCGATCCCATATGTTGAACTGGCTGAGCTCGCCCACGAACGCCTGCGTGGCATCGAACCTGCCCCCCACGGTGTCCTGGGGAACGAGAGCAAGAAATCTGCATTGGGGCAGGTCCCTGGGCAAATGCGGGGAGGCGGGGGACCCGAGCATCGCCCTGACTCCCCCAACCCGGACCACTGGTTTCTGCAGATTCTGAAGCTCCAGAGCACGTCAGCCCAGGGACGACATCACTCTAATCACTCCTTTCTTTACAAGGGAAACTGAGGCTAAAAGGGGAGAACTTGTCCCAAAAGTCCCAAAGCCAGGAGCAGAGCCAGTCTCCTGACTCCACGCCCTCGCTGGGGAGGCACAGTGGGGAAGTGAGGAGGGCAGTCGATCGAGGATGGACCAGACTCAAAGCCCCCAGAGGAGTCTGTTCTCTCACTTTCCATCGTCAAATCTCAAATGCAGACTAAACCGTAGACACCAGACACCAACTCAGGCTTCCCCTCACCCAGACGTGAGTTTCTCGTTTCTCGAGGCAGCACCAAGCTCACTCTTTGCTCCCGTCTGCACATGGGTGAGCTCCCCACCCATCACCTAAGTGCTCCTCGCAGCGCACCTGAGCCAGCGGCCCCTGGAAGGGACCAGCCCTGGTGTCCCGAGTCAGCACCGCATCAGGCAGGGGCCAAATGCCCCAGAGACTCTCAGGAACACCTGGAGATGCCCTCCACAGCCTCTCCCCAGGAGGAGGCTGGATCCTGCGTCACAAAATGACCCGTGACCACAGGGGCACTCCTGCCCCCGTGTCTGACTTTATCTTGGAATCTGTCTATACCACCACACCCACCTGGTCCCTGTCAGTACGGGTCACGTCCCCACAACCATCCTCAGCCCCTCAGGCCACAGAAGGGGCCAAGCTGCCGGGGACTCGCTGCCCCAAACCGGCTGTCGACAGCTGGGGCCAGGGGAGGGGGCGGCCTGCAGACCTGGCCTTGTGCCACTGGCTGGCCAGCCCCTCTTCTGTCCTCTCTGGCAGGGCGAGAACCCGCCCTGCACCCACCTGCTCCTGCCCGAGGATCAGCACACCCCCTGGCTTGATGGGGTGCCAGGGGGCCAGGTTCTCCCCAGTGCCGAGCTTCTCCCCATCCTGGAAAGCTTCCCACATGCCGTCCCGCGTCGTCCAGGTGACACAAATGTGGTGCCACTTGCCGTCGCTGACAAACAGGGGCAGCTGCGCGACCTGTGGACAGCAGTATGCAGGTGAGGGCCTGTCCAGCCCCACCCCATGCATCCCCCAGGGCAGGGAGCAAAAAGGACACCCCAGAATCCCTGGGCCACTGCTCCTCCCACCATCTGGGCCCCCCCAACCCCCCTTCCCTGATACATGGGTGACATACCTGACCCCAGGTGTGCGACACAGGCACTCAGGAAGAAGGGGCAGCTTCAGCACAAGTCCCTGACCCCAGGGAGGCCCAATGTTAATAGGACACCCTTAGTCCCCAGCTTGGAGGAGGACCCAGCAGACATGAGGGACAAGCCCCCCATGCTGGCCCTGAGCTGGCCCTGCCAGAGAATCTGAGGGAGTCAGAGCTCGGCGGAGCCAATTTCCTCGGCAGACAGAGCAGGATCTTCACTCCCCAGGCAAAGTCCTGAGCATCCCTGGTGGCCATGCTGGCACTCAGGGACCTGTCTGTGTGCTGCCGGGGGAGTGGGAGGCGGTACCATGGCCTTCCATGTAGCGGCCTAGAGGCCTCCAAGCACGCGTGTGCGTGGGGGGCGCACACAGACTGCATGTGGAACTTGGGAAAGGACTTGGCCACCAGCAGTCCTGTAAGCACTTTCCATAGGATCCCGCAAACCACTCTGTTGTTACCACGGTCTCCTAGCAACCTGAAGCCTTCCTCCCAGGAATTGCATGTTTACAAGCTGCCCAAACAAGAGGAAACAAGGCTCTCAGCCCTATTGTGTCCCAGGGTGTCATTAGGACAATTAAACCCTGGCTCCAGGAAGTGGTCACTGCTAGCATTTCTTAAGCTTCCCCCAGGGCAGCTCAGTGAAGACAGAGCCAGGACCCGCCTGGGCGCAGCGAGTTGGTGTAGCCACTCAGAGGGCACTCTCTTTGTTATACTGAGTCTGATGTCAGAGTGGAGTTCGAAGCAGGGCCGTGGGAGGTCCCGAGGAGGCCAAGGTCTATGGAGAAGAGGCAAGACTGTGGTCCAGGGGACAGAGCCACAGAGCCCACGGTGGGGTGGGGAGGGTCAGGGCAGGTATGGACTTTGAGGGAGTATGAGGGGATTCTGGGGGTGACCAGTTTTACATTTTCATGGTGGTGGCAGCCGCACAACTGTGTGTGTTTGTCAAAACTGGCTGAACTGGACACGGAAAAGGGTAAATTTTACTGCATGTAAATTATATTTCCAGAAACCTGCCCCCCAGAAGATATGCTCATGAGGAGTCTCTTACAGTCACACATACACTCACCCCTAACCAGCACAGCCTGGGGGACAGCCCTCACTGACTGCCTGACACGGCCTGGGTGCCGGGGCCCCCGCTGCTCTGTGGCCAGACTTACAGCTCGGACCCCCACATGCTGCAGCTGTCCCTTCCTGCTCCCCTACCCAGCCAGCCACCCAGAGTGGGACAGACTTGGTACCAAGTCGTCCCCATGACAAGGAGCCCTGTAGATGCCTATGGCCCCTGCTGCGAGGACCAAGGAGGCCGTGGGCCAGCTGGGATCTGCGGGTAGCGCCTGCCCGTGGCCGGCCAGCTGCCCACCTCCCTCTCCCAGCTGACCTGTTCGTCGGGGGTGGGGGGCAAGCAGGCCTCACCTTGTCGTTGACGAGCAGCTCGATGGGGTTGTTGCCCCACTCTATCAGCACGATCTCGTTGGCCTGCCCAGGCACCGCATAGGAGAACGGGGTGCCAATGCCCGGTGAGGCGCTGGACCGCAGCCACAGGCAGATGGTGAAGGCGTACAGCTCGGGCAGCGTCTTCTTGATCTTGCCGTACAGGTAGTTTGTGCGGAGGGGGAGGGACACTTTGAAGGCATCTGGCGACTTGAAGGCGCTGTTGCCTGGGTGGGGAGAAGAGAGGCCGGGGCAGCGTGTCAGACCCCGCCCCCAGCACAGCGTAAAGCCTCCTCTCACCTGGACCCCTCTGGAAGGCAGTCCCTGAGCAAGTGACCAAGCACCTGCTCCACACCAGCCACCGACCGAAAGACACGGGACACAGTCCTCACCTCCAGGGAGCCTGCATTCACCTGGGTGGGGAGGACCACAGGAAACAAGCGGCACGTGAAAGAGGGGAGGCCAGCAGCGACCCCCGCTGCACAGTGCAGGGGAGGGAAGGTGGAGGAGGGAGGGAGGCCGGGAAGACGCAACAGAGAGCTCCGCGCAGAGGCCCAGGGAAGGGGGGAAAGGAGCACTTTGTGGGAGGTGCAGTGGGAACATCACAGAATTTAGCTCCGTCTTTAAGGACAGGAAAAGAGGCCTCCTGAAACCCAGAAGGAAAAAGCTCTGGTCCCTTCTGGTCACTACTGCCCCTTAGCATAGTCATGGCTGATGACTGGAAAGTTTGAGGAAGGGGCAGGGGTGAGGTAGATTTAATTTTCTTGGTCTGTTAAGCCAGAAAACCCTTTCTCAGCCATGTCTTGTTACCGCAGATATTTCCTTGAAATCTTGGCCCCTTCGGCTTCTTTAGCACGGGCAGGAAGCCGTGGACTTGGGCTTGGATGAAGAAAGTCTCACGGGGACCTGGGAGCTCGGTGAACGCTTGTCAAGTGAGTCCACATCACCTCTTGAGCGGCAGAATCACCGCCGCCGAGGTGAAGGAGTCAGGCTCTCGGGTCTTGACGCTACGACTGAACTTAGAAGTGGCTTTTCCGTCTAAATCCCTGATGTCAACTGCTTGGCTTCCATTTGCCCTTTCCTCCTCAAGAGAACACTGAGTTTATTGGCCACTTCCTGAAGTTTAGAACTAGTGGGAGGCAGAGAGAGGCAGGTGTCCTTCCCCACCCAGGTTAATACACCTGGCCAGAGCCTGGGCCCTTCCAGACCTTCCTGGCATCGAACCCCGCCCCTCCAGCTGCCCCTATGTAAATGGCATTAAAATCCTCAAAAACAAACTCTTAAATGGGTTTAAGTAATTTTCAGTGCAGTCTTGATTTAAGCTCAAAATTAATTTAACAACAACAGCTGCTGTCCAGGTATCACAGATTCCAAAATCTGTAGGACACTTGATTCTGTGAGCTGTCGCACAGCAAAAGTTTTCCTCTTATTTGGGGCCAACGCCCTGCTGGTGAAGGAGCCTAAATGCCCCTCACTGATCCGACAAGTACTTATGAAGCACCCACAAGAGGCCAGACAGTTTCTGTGGCCAGCAGGGTCAGAGAGGCTCTCTAGAGCCAGAACCGACAGAGCCGAGCTGCCTGCGCCACTGTGGAATGAAATCAGTCCCTTCTTCAGCCTTTCGGTAGAACAACAGCCAGAACCAGACAAATCTTTCTCCATCAGAGTCCCCCAAACCCATTTTCCAGCAGAGTGGATAAAACACAGGAGAAGCTCTTTGGCCCCATGGTTCACACCTATGTAAAGAGGCTTCTGCAAAGGAGCAGCAGGGCCAGTGCCACCTCCCAACCTCCCTGGAATAGCAGCGTATAGATGCTAGTATCTGGGCTGCACCTGTAGCAGGTACTCGCATCTGCTGATTGCGTGGTCTTGCCTGATTCCTCTTGCCCCGCTAAGGCAGGACACCCCTCAACGCAGGCTGCGGAGCTGTCAAGCACCAGGTGAGCGCTACGAATCCCGGTCACCTCAGGAAGCCGAGGGGCCAGGCCAGAGTAAAGGCTGGGACTAGCCCTTCATTAGGCTGAAGCAAAACAGAGAGAGAGAACCAGAAAGTCCCCACTCCCTGATTTCGTAGGTTACACTGTTGCCACATGGTGGCTCAGAGAGGTGAGGTGACTTATCCAAGGTCACATAGCTACTAAATGACAGAGCAGGGGCCGGAAGTCCCTTTTTGTGCTACGTGTAGCCCCTAGCACTTCATCTTCAAATGGCACATGACCACGTTCTTAATGAAGGCGCCACTGTCTAATGAAGAGAGATGGCTGCTGTGCTTGTGGGTGGGCAGGCTTGCCAATTTCACACAACTCAGTGTCGGTAATGTCGTTAGCTCGGTGACAACAGATAGGTTTAATTAGAGTTGGGAGAGCTGAGGGGCAGAGGAGGGGGCCTGTACCCTGAAAGCTGGTATCCTTTATTTAAATAAGACAGCTTGGAGCTTCAGAGGAAACTTAGTTAAAACCAATTATGAATTAAAAGCCCTGACCAATAAATCAGAAACTGCAGGTGGGGGACAAGGCAGGGGGTGGGGCGGCAGCCTGGGGCAGGGAGAGAGGCGGCTTTGGTCTTCTCAGCGCCAATGTTTACTTCAACCCTGAGTCGCGCTGTGCTTGGCTAGCTGGCCCAGATTTGGAGGCCCTTGCAGATGAGCGTGTCTCGAAACAAAGAAAAACGAGCATCCTCAGGCCCTGGGCACCTGCACCTCCACAGGCAGGGGTCGGGCACTTGCTGCTGGGCTCCAGGGAGCCTCCTGCCCAGCAGGGCTGGGGCCCACACACCGCTCTAGGCTGCAGCCTCCATTACTCTTCTGGGGTCACCACCAACTTCCATCCCAGCTCTGCCATCTGCAGCCGCATGACCGCAGACGTCACTTAGCTCTCTGACTTTAGTCTCTCATCTGAATGTGTCTACCTCACAGGTCGTGGCAGGGTTACAGAACATACGGAGTGCGGAACTTACAGACAAGCATCTGGCCCACCAATAGGCAGGAAATGACGGACCAAAGGCCAGGGCCCCCAAACCCCCCTAACCTGCTACATGGTCAAGGTCTATTCTGTCTGGGCTCAGTGGGATGCATCTAAGGAACATCATATATTTTTCAATCATGGTATATTTAGGGGCTGGGTGTTTACACGTCTCTTCACAATTGTCCCAAACAGGAAAGATACAAACTCAGAATTGCCCAGAAGACAAACCAGTCAGCAAATAATCACTTTTCTCAAAGACTTGTCCCAGAACTGAGCTGGCAGAACCGACAGAGGACTTCAGAGTTCCTGTGGAGCGGTCAGAGGGCAGCAGACAACAGAAGCTGAGCTGCCTCTCTGTCCCAGGTCCTGAGGACTCCGCACAAGTGGCCAGCTGGGGCCCTGGCCCTTGCAGAGCTCAGCTTCCCCTCTGTACCTGATCAGCTCCGGGGCTTTCAGTGAAACCTGAGGATCCAGAGAGTGGGTGCCATCATCGGGCTGGTGGGCCCGAGTCCTGACTGATTCTTTCTGGCTGTGAACAGACAGGTTAGGGATGGGAGGGAAATTCACAAACTGGCAGCTTCTAGGTGGCCAAAGCCATGGCTTAGCTTATAAGCCAAGTGAAACCAACACCAGCCTTGAGTCAGAGGATAGAGAATGGGGAGGTGCAGGTTTATGTGACCAACCATCAGGGTTCACCAGCTAGTGGCCCAGGTCCCACTTTGGTCCCCTCTCCCCAAAGGACACACATCTGGCTGAGAACTGAGAGTTTTTCTTATCTGTGAAATGGGTCTAACAGAAGTCCGAGCTCCCAGGGGTAAAGTGCTCAGCACATTTTCTGGTACTATGCTGTGCTCTAACTCAGTGGACTATTAACCCACCTCCTTGTAGCAACTTGGCCATTGGTACACAGCCAGTGAGAGCCCTCTTCTCACTCCACAGCCACCCCCTTTCAACGTACTAACTACCTTCAATGTGTCTGCTCCACAGCCCTGGGTGTCCCCAGGATCTGCTGAGGCTGGGTGGGATCAAGATGCCACACTCACCTGTGACTATATGCTGCCCTCCCCCCCCCACACCTCCTGTCATGTGAGAGAGGCCACAGCTGCAGCTGCTCTGCCTTTGGGGATGGCTCTTGAGACCTAATCAGTCTCCTGAGGCCACAAAGTAGCAGAGGCAAGGCAAAGAGGGAATTTTTTTCTGGAAACTCAAGAATCCAAGTCTCACAGGTAAGCTATACACACTCTTTTCTGAGGAGGGCAGGGAAGAAAGCATAGACTTTTCTGGAAGGAGAGAATAGGAAAGAGAAGAAGGGGGCCTGTAACTTGTGTCTGCTGGCTGAGAAATGGAACAGTAACCCCATTCCCTTCTCCATCTGGCCCTCCTCGGCCAAGGTCATTAAAAATGTCATTGGCATTCTGCTGTTGGGCATTCTATCAACTCAGGAAACTGAGTAATTAAAAACTGTCTTTGTCAGGTGAGTGCATCCTAGATGATTATACCAGGAAACACGAAACTTCACAGGCAGGCCACCCCGCAGTTGGGGGTTGACAACGCGGAATCATCTAGGGCCCTTGATAACGGGCCCTCCCCCTCCCTGTCTCCTGTGGGAGAAACTTGCCCACCATAGTGTGAGCAGACAGGAAAAAGACAAAAAGAATCTAATGCAAGGACTAGTTAAGAAGGGACCGAAATGCCCATGTGGTGGGAGGTCAGACAGCAGGTTGTTTATCCAGCTGGTCCTGAGTTCATTGCTTTTCCATGGACAGTGCCAGTAGGGCTGTGGGCTGGGGGCTAATTCCTGAGATGACCATTGTCGATCATCTTTGTTACTTGCTCAAACATCCACGAACCACCCCCGGGCTGTGCCACAGCCACTGCTGTCCACACTCAGAAATCCTGCATCTGCCGGCAAGGGATGAAAATCAGACCACTCCAGACAGAAACGACCAAAGCACGCACCTCGCTCCAGCTCGGTCACCCTCTGCAGCAGCGCGTTCAGGGCGCTCTCGGTCTTCTGCCGGTGAGCCGAGGTCTCGTTGTGGAGCAGGGACTTCTCGTCCTCCAGCTCGGCCACCTTGCGCAGCAGCTGCCGCTCCAGCTCCCCGAGCCGCCGCTGGAGCACCTCGCGGAAGTCGCCGGGCAGCCCCGCATTCGACACGTTCCCTCGGAGCTGGTGCTTTAATTCGGGAGGGGGGACACAGAGGGAGTTGAAAAGAAACTCTGAAATGGAGCCGCGATGGCCCCACCCCGACGGACCGCACCGGAGAAGCTTTCAAAATGCAAGCACTGAATCATGCCCGGCACAAAGGAGGGGCGCCTTTCACTGAAGCTTTTTTTTTTGTATGGAAAGGATTTCAAAGTCAGACAATTACTTTCCTGCAATATTTGAAACTTGCGAATCTCATTTTCTCTTCTCAAAAAGCTGTTTTTCTCCTCTTACTAAAAAGTCAAAATTTTAACCAACATCTAGAATTCTCTATTGAGTAAAGACCAAACCACAGCTAGGATTTTTTTTTAAAACAGTTAATCAATGGTACACAAAGGGCATGAGCTTTCCTCTAGAAATGAAAACAGCTCCCAAGTTCCAGGATGGCACAAAGGTAAATAACTATGCTCACAGAGATGTTATTGGAAAATGACAGATATAAACCATTACTATTTGGAATTCCAGAAATCTTTGTTTTTAATGCTGTTTCTAAAACCTCACCTCCTATTTCTTTTGCTCGTCTACCATCATGCAGTTCTGGAGGCAGCCTGCTGCTGCCCAGCCATGAGTCTTCGCAAGCTATTTATCCTTCTCTACAAAGTGCTCCAGTTTGTAAAAGCAGACAGTGGGACCTGACTCATGCCTTTCATTGTGGCAAGGGTTAAAAAATTAAATAATACACCTGACATATTTAGTACTCAAGAAGTGTTAGCTGTTAGTAATGAATCAGGGATACACAGATGCTGGAAATACTGTATTTAGCCATCATGCCAAAAGAAACCCTCAAATCATTTTGCAATAATTACCACCTGTAATTTAAACCTAGTTTTGCTAATAAGTATTTTCATTAACGCTATTAACAGAAACGTCCACACTTCTTAGAAAGAGTAGAACATAAAGATGAAAATCAACCGAAAATTTTTCTCAAAGTTCCAAAGGGCACGCATCTTCTGAGAGAGAACTGAATAAGGTCCCCTCCCCCAAAGTCATCTGGAAGGGCACCTTAAAATGGCTCAACTTGCAGACAGAGGCATCTTTGAAGTTAAGAGGTTTCCTCTAATACGATTTCTGGGGTTTCCAGTGATCCCGCTGCGCGCGCCTCCCGCCGACCACCCTCTGCTCCTGCACGACCCGATTTATTAAAGGAAACAGCAGATGCCGAGGGCAGCTGACCTCCGGCGGCAGCCTCTCAGCACCCCGCACCGCCTGCTGGAGCGCGTCCCCACTTGCGGAGATTTGCAACAAGAGGAAAAAGGCTCCTGGTCCCCGGGTATTTCGCGCCCAGCTAGGCCGTTTGGGTTCGAGAGCCGGGACCTCAGGAAGTGCACAGTGGGCGGAGGGGCAATCCTGGTGCACAGGGGTCGGCGGTGCGGGGCCGAGATTTAAACCTTTTCTTCCAGCAAGGGAGCGGAGGAAGCGTGCGATGCGAGGAAGTTCCCGAGCAGGATCCAGACCCACCCACTCCTGTTACCGCAAACCAGCTAACCCAACTCACCTAGTGGACAAGCGCGCCCAGCTGGGACCATGCACCCCCCCACCCCGTGGCCTCTCCCCCCATCCCCGGTCCCCCGCGCGCCGCTACCTCGAGGCTCTCCAGGCGGTCCTTGAGGGTCTGTAGCGAACGGCTGAGCTGCTCCACGACGTGGCCGGGGTCCCGCGGCAGGTCGCCCATAGTGTCCTTGCCCGTGGCCCCCGCGCCCCGCGCCTTGCCGCTCGCCAGCCCCTCGCAGCGCGCCAGCTTGCCCGTGAGCTCGCGGATGGCCTCGCGCTGCGCGCCCAGCGTCTCCTTCTGCTGCACGACGGTCTCGCGCAGCTGCAGCACCGCGGCCCTCAGCTCCTCCTCGGGGTTCAGCGCGCCGCCCTGCATGGGCATCGCAGGCAGCGGGCAGCCGGCGCGAGCCGCCTCCGGGGGCAGCGCGGTGCACACGAAGCGGCTGCCAGGCACCGGGCTATCCTGGGCCCTGGTGGCCACGGCGAGCGCCAGGCCGGCGGCCAGCAGTGCCAGCATCCCGGGGCCGCCGCGCTCACCTCAGCATCAGCAGCGGGGGACGCCGTCGGGGCGCGCGGCCGGAAGCGCCTTGGCAGCGGGCTGCGGCTAGGCGCGTGGAGAAGCGGAGCTGGCGCCAAGTGCCGTCGCGCAGCCGCACCCTCTGCCCCGCGCGGTGCTCTGGCCCAGCCCGGCCCGCGCTCCCTTTCTTAAGCTGGGGTGAGGGCGGGGCCGGCGCGGAGGCGCGCGCCGCGAGCTCTCATTGGCCCGGCTGGGTGCGCGTCAGGCGGAGGGCGGGGCGGGGGCGCTTCTCACCGCGCGCTGGGCAGCCGGGCGGGCGCGTGGGCCGGAACCTGAGTTGCGGGCGCCGGGTCCCGGGGCCCCCAAGGAGCGAGGACTGAGGTTCAAAATGGACCATGGGGCCCTCGGAAGCCTCGGCCGGCCGTGCCTAGGCGCCCCTGGAACCCACCCGAGGACGCCGGCGTCCCGGGCTGAGGAGAAGCCAGGAGCCCCTCGGCGCCCCGGCGCCCCCCGGCGGCTGCGGGTTTCCGGCGCGGCGCGAAGCCTCGCGGTGCGCCCCGCCGCGTTGAGGGGTCGTTAGCCCCGCTTCGCCGGGAGGAGCCCAGGCGGGGCTCGATCCCGGGCCGCCGTCGCGAGCCACCTCCGCGGCAGGCGTGGGCCTCCTCGTCACGGCCTGGCCGCCTCGCTCTCGAGGCGGGAAGCAGCCGCACGACGGCCGCCTCCGGATGCCGCGGTCCCGGGCCGCCCTCCGCTTCCCCGCCCCCGCCCGCGCCGCCGCGGAGGACTCTCTGGAGGAATTCTCGGGGCTGCGGGGACCGGGACCGGGCGCCGGATGCCGAGGGGGGCCGGAATCACGAGGCCACTCGCAGAGCTCTCACGTGCGTGTCCAGCGACAGCCCTCTAGGCGGTGACCTGAGTTTCATGTAGTTCATTCGCCTGGAGTCATCTCGATGTTGCCACGTAGTAAACAGTGCCCTGTCCGTGTAAACGGGCCCACAATGTCCACTTTCCGAATTTGAGACTGCTGCTTTCGGATTCCTGGAGAGAGAGCAGATATGTACAGAAACCCCAAAGACAGGAGCAAATTTGTTTCAAAATCTTGTCTGTGGCTTACACACAAGTTCACAGTGATGTTGATGCACAGCTACAGACTGCACATTATTAATGGAAATCTTTTTTTCTCTATGTTTTTAAGAAATCCTGTTTCAAGGTCATTAATCATATTATCCATTATACTAGAAACAAATGGATTTGTCACTTGTGCACAGAAGCCGAGATTGGTTCCGAAAACAAATTGTATCAAAATAAATGAAATTATTATGATAATATAAAATAGACTGCAGTGATTAATCTCTGGAAACCAAATTCTGACCTGCTTTGCACTTCAAACAATAGATTCTGTTATGTAAATAGTTGTGGGGTTTTCAAGGACAGTGTTGCTAAATTACAAGAAAAGTTTTATTCATGTAAATCTCTTCATGGATATAAATAAGAGACAGGAAACCTGGTCTACACAGTCCCCAAAGCAGAGGACAATGGAAGTAATGATGGTTCTTTAACAGAAAAGGTATGGGGTGGGAGATGGGGGGTGAGTAATGGGCTAATATCTCTGTTAGTCTGCATCACCAGGAGGTATCAGTTTCACCTTGTAAATATGTCCTTGAATAGACTCATTCTTCCTACACCATTTTTCAGCTCCTTGAAAACTCCAAAAGTCCAAATAAGCCTCCTTATACACGAATTGCAATAATGAAGGCAACAAGGTTGCAAAGCACTGTACAGTGTTACGTTTTAGATGATTCACAAGGCACCAAATCCAGACACGTTTGGAATTATTTAAATAAAGATGTGACTTTCCAATTTTCACTCATAGGTTTGATGTTCCTTTTTACTCATAGATGTAGGTGGATCTTAATTGGATGAAACAATAGAGTATTATTGTTCCTATATTGTTCTATATATCCTCTCTTGACACAGACTGATACATTCATATTTGCAGCTATTTGAAATAGAAGCTTGTTCCTTTAATAATTAAATAAAATCAAGTGTATTTCCAGAATTCTAATTTCCTCCTGAACAAAGAAAGCAGTGTACAAGAATAAAAATAGCATATATCTCCAAATAATTACTCTTAAATTTCTTAAAAGAGGTTCCAATATGAGAAATGATTAGAGAAATTACCAAAGCTCAGATGGAAAGACTCGGACATTTGAGATGTTATTTTCTTTGGAGGCAGTATGATCAGAGTTAACAGGGTGTATGCTATTTGGGGTTTTATTTTATCTTTCTGGTGCAGTGGAAAGTCTGCCGGCTTCAGAATGAGGGGTCTGAGTCCTAGTATCAACTCTGTCACTAGCTAAGCGGTTGTGGACAAGTCATTTCTCCTCTCTAGAGTTTAGTTTCCTTGTGTATAAGATAAGGATTAGACTAGTCTCTCCAAAGATGCTTCTGGCTATACTTAAGAGCTTGGTAGTTTAGAAAAGAAGGAATCATTGTTTAATGTGAGGGCCATTTCAGAACCTTGTTTTTTCTCTGTATGTTATGAACCACCTGTAGTCAAGGCTAAGTGTGGAAAGGCAGAGTGGCTGTGTGATACAGCAAGTGAACCTGCACACAAGGAGATGCTGTAGCTGTGGTTAAACCTGCTCTCAGCAACGTGAAATCATCCTCGATTTACTCACGACACAACAACCTTGTCTACCTGAAAGATCCTGCATGTCTGACTCATGCTATCCGTGAGGACACTTACGTGAGTGGCAGAGACCAGGGCCCACAGATTTTCCTCCACTTGAAAAGTCGTGCAGATCCGCAGCAGTGAATCAGCTCCACCTAATCTCTTAGCGTAACTGATGCTGCAGCATAGTAACCACCCACTCATTCACTATGTCTGCTGGTCCCAGGTCAGCTGAGAGCCCAGTATGGGCTCAAACCGTGTGCTGGGAATCCTGATGAGCTCATTCCGCCTCCATTTTATTGCCCCATCTGTTTGGTTCCCTTGTTCTTCTCACATGCATTTTTATCTTGGTCTTCTGGGAAACGTGCTAATTTCCACCATGGTGTCAGAGGATCCCATCTTATACTTTCTTACATTTCCTCCTGTCTTTCTCAGAGCCACTTGGGAAGTCAAGAATGGGAATGTTAGCTCAGTAACAGAATCCAAGGACAGCTTCCTGCAAACATGACTCAGGAACTGTCCTCGGTGCTGAATTTCAATCGGAAGGGGAAATAAGAGCGGGGTGTGTGTGTGTGTCTGTTTGTAGGATTCAGTGCAGATACAACAGAATTTAGAGGCTCCAGAGGATCCTGGCTAATACTCTGTTATACGTAAAATGCTATGATGCTTTCAAGAGTGGATTTTTCACTAGATTGAACTGAATGGTAGAATGGAAAGAGCTTGAGCTTTGAAGTCAGACAGCTCTTGTTTCAGTCTCAGTTTTATAACTTGCAATTTGGCCTTGAGAGATTGGCTTAACCTCTCTGAGCCCCAATTTTGTTATGTAGAAAATCAAAGCTAAATTTACTACAAAGTATTGTTGTCAGGCTTGAGTGAGATAATGTATGTGAACATGTTTGGCATATAGCAGGTGCACAATAGATGCTAATTGTCCTTTTCTTTCTTTCTTTTTCACTGGATTCAGAGGTGAATTATGTAAGTCCTTTTAAAAAACAAAGTTTAAATTTTTCCTTTATTTTATACATATCCTTTAGAATTAAATAAGGCAAGAATACTTGAGAAAGAACAGGAGGAAAGATAAGGATGAGAACTTCAGGAAAATTTATTGATGTCTCAGCAAGTCTGTGGGTTTTTTCCCTAAGATAAAGCATGGTATTATTGAATTTTAATCAGGGGAGTCAGTCAAAATGAACTGTTTCACACCTACACTTAGAGTATATCACCAAACTGTATGTCTGGACCCAACTAAAAGATTTGTGATATTTAACATTGACGTGCTTCTGAGTTTGTACTGCTATGGGAACCAAATAGATATAAGTGCCCCCCCCCCGAAGATAAAGCAAATGGTCTTTCTTCAACGCATCTGTGTTCTTATTTAATAACATATTTATGACTTAATTTTGGGAGTATGTGATATGAGACACTGAATTTTCAGAATTTTTGCCCCTGTACAAATATATGTTGACATGCAGCTGGAGATTTGGGGGAAATGGATGTTAATATTACTCATCTGATTTCCACAAAAAAGGCTTTTGGTGGCATTCTCTGATCTCAAGCAATAGAACAAGTCACTGGATAAACCAGGGATAATGTCTCAGCTCTGTTTTTAAAAGTAAAGGATAGTAGATTGGGGGTGGGAGGGGGCTGAAGGGAGAAACCTCATCAACATAGTTTGCTTTGAGGAACTCTTCTGAGAATGTCGTCTCAATTTCTTTATATTAGGAAACACTAAGAAAGTACCTTGCTTTTACACAAGTTACAAGTAGTGAAACTAGCCTGTTTTTGATAAAGTCTTGTAGCTCAATATTCTCTGTATGGATTAGGTGCACAGGCAGCTTGCGTGAATCTTTGAAAATGAGAGTTCAAAAGATTTTATAGAATTTTGAAGACCAGGAAACAGTTTAAGAAAGGTTAAAAGGTCATATGGCAGCTAGATAGGAGGAATAAATTCTGGTGTTCCACAGCACCGTTGAGTGACAGCAATTAACAATAATTCATTGTATATTTTGAAATAGCTAGAAGAGAGGATTTTGAATATTCCCAATACACATAAATGAGGTGATGGATATGTTAATGCTAATTACTCTGATTTGATCATTACACATTGTATACATGTATTGAAATATCACTCTGTATCCCATAAATATGTACAATTATTACATGTCAATTAAAAACTTTTTAAAAGGAAGACTCCTCCCCCACCCAAAGAAAAAGAAGCCCAAAATTGTTTAAAAAGAGGTCATATGGCTACTCTACAGCAGGGTCGAGCTGGAGCTCAGGCCCTCTGGTTCCCAGTAAGGGCCCTTTTTTCTGTATCACTCCCTAA